TATCTGGGATGTGACTTCTAATAGGACTGAATATGTCTGCATTAGGGTTTAGCTGCAGGGTCTGGAAGGGGCTTGTCATTGTTTGGGGCTGATTAAGTCGATGGTTAATGTATCCTCCTAGTGTCTAGTCTTAGGTGTCTAGTCTAAGCCCTGTGACAAAGCACTATCGGGCACAATGGGCCCAGTTGAATCTTCAAAATGGTATTCTTGTCCGGAGATGGGAACTACAGATGGGAAATTGACGACTTGGTAAACAGTTATACCGAGGAAGTTACGGGAAGTTGTGCTGCGTCAATCCCATGATAGTCTAACAGGAGGACATCTCGGAATTAAGAAGACATTGAGTCACCTGCGCCAAAGATTTTACTGGATAGGTATGAGGCAAGATGTGGAAGAATGGTGCAGGACATGCAGTACATGTTGAGCAAAAAGGGGACCCAAGCATAAGGGACGCCCACCTTATGAAGAGTTGCCTGAGAATGTGTCAGAGTTTGTGAAAGTGTTATCGGAAAGGATGGACGATATTCACCATCAAAGGCGTTCAAACTTGAAAACGTCTGCTGATTCGATGAAGCTATCTCATGATAAGAAATCTATTGAAGTCAGCTTTGAACAAGGAGACAAGTTGGGGTTGTATAATCCCAGGAAGACCAAAGGGAAGTCTCCTAAGTTGTCATCTCCATGAAAAAGTCCATATGACATAGTGGATCGTCTCTCAGACGTGACTTTTCGAATCAAATGTGGTCGGCGAGGTAAGCCAAAAGTGGTGCATGTCAACAGGCTTTGGCGTTATCACGGTCCAGGACATTTCAGTTGGGACGAAGTGAACTACAGAACAAATGACGCTGCTGAAGACGTGTCACCTGAAAAAGCCAACGTCAAAGAAGAAACTCTACTCAGTTTTGAGAAGGAAAACGGTGACGCTCTTGATGAAGTTACTACCACTGATGTGACTGTTATCGAGGATAGGACATTTCCTGATGAAGCAGATGAACTCCATATGAAGCAGAAGCCAACGAGACGGAGACCAGTATGGAAGAAGATACGTCCAGTAAAATTAAGAGACTTTGTTGAATTGTAATTTTGTGTTTGTTAATTGTTATTGGTTTAATGTAAGTGGCTATTGTTCGGGACGAACAATACTAAGGAGGGGCAGTGTTGCATCAGCAGAGGTCACGTGACTAGTATCACTCCACGTCGTTCTCGAACATTCACGTCCTTTCCTTAAATCTCGGGATCCTTCTAGATATAGTGTAGTCTTGTATATATAAGACGGTCACAAATTGACGGCAACAATGTGTGTAATTGAACGAGTATTGTTGAGTCGAGCGTTTGTTATAGCGCGACTGTTGAAATTAAGTGTATCGCAAAGTTATATGCAGAAAGAATAAACCAGTTTTATTTAAGAAAGGACATGTGTCGCTAAAGTTTCGTCGGAACGAAGTTACGGAAAATTAACAAACGAACGGAGACGTAACAATATAATATTTTGTATACTTTTTGTGACATTTCATTATACATTTCTTTTAGTTTGAAACCAAATTCCTGATAATGATTTGTTTGTTTTGAATTTCGCGCAAAGTTACACGAGGGCTATCTGCGCTAGTCGTCTTTAATTTAGCAGTGAAAGACTAGAGGGAAAGCAGCTAGTCATCACCGCCCACAACCAACTCTTGGGCTACTCTTTTACCAACGAATAGTGGGATTGACCGTCACATTATAACGCTCCCCACGGCTGAAAGAGCAAACATGTTTGGTGTGATGGTGATTCGATCCCGCGACCCTCAGATTGAGAGTCGAGCGCCCTAACCACCTGGCCTTGCCGGGCTCCTGATAATGAAATACCAAGTTAAAATCAACTCTTCCTTAGTTATGTAGTACCAGGCTGTACTACGTGTTTTCCACTCCTTTTAGTTTAGAAGTCATATTTACTAGATATTGTTGTTTTTATATAGTTTTGCGGTTGTAATATAGCATTGATCAAGCAAGTTTCTAACTTTAACTTTCCCTTGGAACTAAGTGGATATTAGGTGCCATTTTATTTGATTCTCTTGCAGTAATAACAACATGCTTTTTAATTAGCACATCGAGTTATTCTTGTCAGCGAATCAAACACTTGCCAAAAACGTTTTATATGAACACAATGGAAACATATGTATTTTAATTTTAATATATTTTGGAGATATTCTCAATAACTTAATATTTTACTATTATGTTTATCACGGATATTATTGAATTTTCATCCTAATTTTGCAAAAGTTGACCAAAGACATAATCGCTTAAAGTGCTCCCTGTAGCTAGTTGATGCACTGGTCCTATTGATTGTAATCTTTTCCCATACGCATGCGCTCTAGAAAGTCGTTTCTTGTTCCGAGAACAAAGGTAGTAGTGTTAGAGTTGAGATATCACTGTTAAGATTTTATTATTGGAATTGCGGTGAGTTTGCATACTTATTTTTTAACCCAAAAAGATGGTTGTTTATCTGTTAGTTTTAGTTCTAATAATTAATAAAAGAAATGCCTACACTATAGTATGATAGTAATAATGCTTATACTATTAGTATTTTATCAATGTTAGGCTTAGTTCATAGTATTATGAATATGAGTTTGTCTAAGCCTAACGTTGATAAAAAAGTTAACAAGTGGTTGAAATGCCAATTTGACCAAACGTGAGATTCTTTACATGTGAGCGTGAGAATAGACCCAGATGCGCCTGTCTCACGCATTTGGTGAGTGTTGGTAGAACTGTAAAGTTCAAATGTAACTTTATAAAGAAGCTATAATTTCATTGTGAAAACGTAATGTAATTGTATAGATCACTGGTTAGGCCTCATATCAATTCCTCATTACTAAGTTGAGATAGGTCCGTAACAACTACAACAACGAAAAAAATCACGTTTACTTGAAATTAAACCCATTATTTAGTAAAGGAAAACTAAAAAGAAAGTCAGAGCAGTTGGAATTTTAATTTTTTTTCTCGAATCTGAAATGTAGCATTTTCAGAATCTGGATTTCATAATTTGGTGGCTGACTATTTAGAAAAAAAAGTGTAGTACTAGTAATTCAGCATGGATTGTTTACAACAAAACTATAAAAAAATTATCATGTGACCAAAAAAGTCTTAAAAAGTATTAGCTAAGAGTTTGGTTATGTGGTAACTTGTTTTCTCTTGCTAAAACAATACCTCCACTGGTGAACTGTATTTTACTAATTTCTAGTAGCCAGTAACAGGATCAAAATTGCAATTTTATATATCATAAGGCTTAGTAGTAAGCCTATTTCATTTTTAAGCATTGCATTCTTAATCTGTCCCATAGGGATTTTCAAGGATTAGAAGTGTATAATAATAGTATTCCAAGGCAGGGAACAAAATATCCAAGTTTGCATCGAACTTTGCTAAGCAAAACAACCCTTGTTGTGAATCAGTTTCCTCTTTGCTTAGCATAATGTGTGAATGATTCATTTCTCTTTGAGACCTCCCACAACATGGTGAAAGTGCCATAATGTTTGTTTGGTATACCAAAGCCAAAGCTAGTGTTCATTTCTTAAAAATTTCTGCCAAACCGTACATACAGTATTTTTACACTTTGTCATGCATGTGTCACATACACTTTGTAACAGTCTGTTCATGACATTTGGAATACACCCTGATGGCACCTGCAGCCTAGCCAAATAGACCAGACTATGTACATAAGTACATGCACTGCACATTTAGCATTGAAATGGTTCGGAATTTTCAGTATGGGTTCTATCCTAATGACCGACCACATGATCATTTTTATTCGTATATAGTTTAATACTGTAACTTATAATACAGTATGTGTAACTTCAGAAAATTTGGCAGACTCTCAGTAAACATTACATGTTGTTTGTACACAAAAAAATCAGTTTTTAATCAAGTATTTTTACTAAATACTTGTCTGGGAATATATTGTCTTTTTTTTACCAGTCTGATTCAAAGTGATTTTCATGTTAAGATTAAAAATACTTTTTTCCTCTTAAAAATATCAAGTATCATTTGTGCAATCTCCAAAACATCCTAACTACATTCAAATGTTTCTTTCAGTAAAACTTTTATCTGTTATTTTCTCTGTGTTAACTCTATACAAGGTTGGTCAATTTGATGGACCTCACTACCATCAAAAGAAAAAAATTGAAATAAATCTAAATTATCATTTTTTTATTTCTAGAATGACTTCAAATTGTAACATGAAACTACATTTGTGTCAGATTAAAAAATAATAATATTATATATGCAATTTCTTCTTTTTGCTAGTTGTCGAAATAA